AATCGAGTTCCTCTAACTCAGCTCTTCCAGAGCAACATTAAATCTCTTACCAACTGTCTTTGTGGATGCAGGTATCGTTGTATTATGACTAAAGTCGAATTTAGGAGTTTGAATTCTTACAACTGAGCTCTACCACATGATCTAGAATAAGAAGAAAGAGTGACAGTCCTAAATGCCTTGTAGCCTCCTGCTTATAAGTGTGGTGCACAACACACCCATAAACAAGACTCAACTAGACACGGCTTGTAGATTCCCTAGGAAAGAACTACTCTGATACCACTTTTGTCACGACCCAAACCGAAGGGCCGCGACGGGCACCCGGTGCCTTACTCAATCGAGTACAAACATAACATATCTTTCTTATCATACTATCATGAGTAAATGAGACAGAAAACCCGTCATGAGATAACACGAATAAACATAAGGGAATAGTCAACATTTGACGACCCAACATGATATACAAACTTATATATGTGACATAGGGGCCTATAAGGCCGACATGACCATTTGTAAACTCAAAACATAGGCCGACAAGGCCATACAAGTATCCATACACCTGACATCCGACTACAAGCCTCTAAGAGTACATAAAATCATAAAGGTCGGGACAGGGCCCCGCCATACCAATAAATACATATCCGAAACATACTGACCAAATAGGCAACTCTGGAGCAAGTGGAGTGCACCAACACCTTCTCTGAGCTGATAGCCTACTACGAGGACTGTTAACCCATCAATCGGGACCTGCGGGCATGAAACGCAGCATCCCCAGGCAAAAGGGACGTCAGTACGAGTAAAGTACCGAGTATGTAAGGCAGGAAAACATAAACAAGAACAGTAATGTAAAGAGAGATAGAGGAGATACAACCTGTAACATCTGAGTGCCTCTGGGGGCTACTGATATGAAATGCATAAAACATATATATATACATAAACTTATCAAAAACATTCGCCTCTTTGGGCATCATCATCATCATATCGTACCCGGCCTCAAAGAGGACTCGGTAAAAACGTACCCGACCATGATAAGGCTCGGTAGAATCGTACCCGGCCACGTGGAGCTCGGTAAACCAAACTGATCAGTGGTTGCACAATAGGTGCCGTACCCGGCCGACTATAGCGCGGCTCGGTAGAGTAAAATAGATACTATATATAATGCATGCTAGACTCATGGAATCACCTTCTAAACCTTTTGGAGTGACTTAAGAACATTATGGACATCCATACCCTGAATATGAACCTTAGTTGGATTCAAGGATCATACACACTTGCTTAGAATAATTTTATAAGGAAAGAACAATATGGACAACCTTAGTTACTAGGAGTAGATCCGTTATGAAGTAGCGTATTCATTTCACTTTAGATCATGACAAAAGAAAGAAGAAAGTGCCTTAACATACCTTAAACACGTTGAGTCCTTAATCCCTTCCAAGCAACTCTTCAAACAAGTTAACTCAATCTATGATAGTATAAGGAGATTCAAAATCAGTGTTGAGCAAAGGCTAAGTCTGTAACTTAAGCTAGTAGCTCGTTTACGTAAATTCGGGAAGCATCTCCCTTGTAACAAGGGCCTCCTCCAATACCCAACAACAACAGCCAGGGAAGTACAAAAAACTATAAATATCAATGACAAGACACCATATAACAACAACAAGTCACAACTACTTCACGACGAACGGCAAGCTCTGATTGGAATCCGTATAACCCATATCACCCCTTATAGACTTCTTACATTAATTTAACAGTATCATTAACATGATAATTAAGTCATTTATCAATGATTCCATCTTTATACCATATATTTATAACAAAGGAAACAATCCTCAACTCCAACTATCTTCAATTAGTAACTTTATTCACTAGTTCATGTCTACTCCATCCATTTAACTTAATCAACATCAAGATAACCTTAAGCACATGCAAGAACACAATACACACACCTCCTACAGTAACTTCAAGTCGAAATCCAAGTTATATTCAGCTCACAACAACCCACAATAGCAATACAACACCATAGAAGTGACTTAAGCTAATCCAAGTACTATCTTGTAGTTTATCATCCCAACAACTTACCCAACATACAATCAAGCTTAAGCACAATTAGTAGGCTGTTATACCCACCTTAGCCAGTAGCAACAACTTGGAATTTCAGCAAAACACATCCCACAACAATCCTCAATGACAACACAACCTCAAAGAGGTGTTGTTCTTCTCTAGAACTAAGTTTTGATGTTGAAACATGGTGTAATCACTTTGGAATCACTTCAAACCCTTGTGGTATATGTTTAGGAGGGTTAGGAGAAGTTTGGAGATGAAGTTTAGTTGAAAAATGAGCAAAAATAGGCGTCCAAATCGTTTATAAATTGAAGTAGGTCAACCACCGCCTAAGTGGGTCCCATTGGGAGCTGCTTGCGCAGTCTCGCGAAAACATGAATATCTATCTACTCCGATGTCGTATCGACAAACGGTTTTATTCATTAGAAACTAGACTCGTATATCTTCAATTTGGTAGGTAGATCACCCCATAATTCCAAGTATGTTTGGAGAAAAGCTCATCTACATTTGACCTAATTTTCAGAGAAATTATGAATGTAACTTGTGATGACCTTTGCCAACTCTTGTTCCACAATTTGCTTGCCTTCAAAACGTTGAAAATGACTATCATACGACTAAATTAACTCATATTATAACCTCCTTATCATGTTAAGAACTCTAGTCTCACCCCAAAGTACATGTTATAACATTCCAAATTTGTCGACTTTCGACGAAACTTATTTTCTTCAATTGGTTTAGCTTATAAGCTTTCCAACCCTCTTGGTACTCGTTATTCATGATCTTAAATATATCTAAACTCCAAGGTAACATTATTTACTTACTTTATTTGCTTCCAAATATAATCTCATTTTCGAGCTTACATCAATGGCTTACGACGTACTGTCATGTATGAAAACGTGGGGTATAACACATTGATCACTAAAAAACCTAAGGGTTTGTTCCATTCTGAGTCTGAGCTAGTGCTCATTTGATCATTGAAGTCATAACATCATAAAAATTCACAAAATAAAGACAAAGCATAATTCAATACACATAAGAGATGAAGCAAAGAGAATTCTTTATATTTATAAAGGGTATTTAAAATACCCACAAGGGGCCTTACCCAAAAACAAAGAAACAAAAATAAAACCCTAAGAGCCTAATCTACTTTGGGAGCTGCATCCTCGGAAACCTCCTCCTTGGGGATTCCATCCTCATCTCTCTGGCCCTAAGTGCCACTAACAGAATCTTCATCATCGAAACAAACGACAAACTTGGAATCGCCCTCAAGTGCTTTTGCTTGGTCTATCTCATTGGTGAGGTCGAAACCTCGAGTGTGGATCTCTTCGAGGGTCTCCTTCCAGGATTTACACTTGGCCAAATCACTGACCCGTTTCTCCCGGTCGGAGGCCTCCCTTAGCTCTGCTTGAACTACTTCGGCATCCCTTAAGTATACGGTGATGGTTTTATCAGCCATGGCCTTCGTCTTCTCAACTTCGGCCTTGGCCTCAGCAACCTCAGCCCCGACTTCAGCGAGTTTTGCCTCAAGCTCCTCGATCTTCTTGGCTTGGGCTAGATTTTTCACTTTAGCACTTCGTAGCTGGGTCTCAGCTGAGGCCAGTTGTGCTAGAGCAGCCTCTTTATCAGCAGAAAGTCGATCCATATTCTCCTTCCATCGGTTGCAGACGGCTATATCCCGATTGACCTCGCCCCGAAGCTGCCCGATAATCTCCAATTTTCACTGCAACTGAGACATTGAAGTGTTAGCCTCCACAGTAAGGTCGAGTTGACTATACTCTTTCAAAATCACGGTTACTTGCTTGACTAGCTCGGCATTGTTTTTATGAGCATTGGAAAAATCTGCCCGAAGGTCCTTGAGCTCCTCCTCCTTTAGCTATAAAGGAGCCTCAGAGCCTTCTCTTCATCTGAAGATTTCTTGTGCTCGGCCTCTTATTGGCTCAGGTCGGCTTTAAACTTAGTGATGGCCTACAAAAGAAAAAGAGATATCAGTTAAAGCAGAAGGAGAAGAAAACAAAAAATTCTACAATAATAATAGTTAGTGCTTACCCGAGAGAAGAGACGATGAGCCTCTTCAAAGAGGGTAGATACGTTATTGAGGTCGGCGGCATCCTCGACCCTAGTAAAACAATCCTAAAAGGGATCTTCTTCGAGGACCTTGCTCGGGTTGGGCATTCGCAGAGCTCGAGCGTCCTTTATTGCCTAATCAGAATAAGATGGTAGAGAAGGGGAGTGACCTATTCTCATGGCCCCGCGCTCCTCACTCGGGGAGCTCTGATTAGGGTCGATGTTCTCAGCACTTGCCCCTTTGGTGTACTTGTTGAAGGCGGCGGAATAATCTCGATCTCAGGGGATTCGGGGGCTTTACCCGAATCTTTCTTCGGAGTTTCCTCACCACGAGGCAAGGTCTCCAGCTCGGAGGGCTTGGCGACCTCAACCGGTTTCCTAGTCCGGGTCACCAACGTCGATTTTTCGCCCTCATCTTCTTCATCATCCAGAATTTGGTAGGCCGAATCTACGTCCACATGGATAAGTTTCTTCCTTAGCCTTTGAGCAGGGGCTTTCTTGTCTTGGGAGTATTCAGGCTTCGAAGCCCTTTTCCTCTTGTTACCTTTGCTCGATTAGGGAACCAGGGACTCGGTATTTTCCCCAGGAGGGGACGGCCTCATCTCAAAAAAATCTCTGAGGCCTGCCTAAACCAAAAATTGAGTATGAGCAAACAAATGACTTTGCTAAAGGAGGGAAGCATCAAAATACTCACCATGATTTTTGGCCTCCCATTTTCCCCTCGATAAGTCACGCCATTTACGCTCATCATACGAGGAGGTCGCGGCTAACTTCCGGACCCAACCCTCGAGGTCAGGGATCGCATGGGGCAACCACGCTTCGGTTGCGAAAAGGGTAAAAGCGTTACACAATGCCAAAACATGATGTAAGAAGGCACTGAGGGAAAGAATTCACTTACGCTCGGGATTCTAATTCTCCGGGAACGGCATTTTGTTTGAGGGGATGATGTTTGAGGTCCTCACTCGGATGAACCGGCTCATCCAGCCTTGGTCTTTGGCCTCATCATTGCTGTCAAAGAAGGCTAAACACGATAGGCGTTGGAGTTTGATCAGTCCTCAGCCAATACAATCGGATGAGGTGATTTAGGGTAATCTCAAGTCCCCTGGCCTTGCTAGAGAAATAACGGAGCATGATCACTATGCGCCAAAAGGAGGGATGAACCTGGCTGAGGGTGACTTGATATCTTTTGCAGGAGTCAATCATGAATGGATCAAGAGTACCCAGTGTGAAGAGGTAAGTGTAAACACTTAAGAACCCCTCCACATAGGTGGTGACATTCTCCTCGAGGGTTGGGATCTGTACCACGACCTCATTCCCCCAGCCACAACACTTTCTCACAACCTCCAGGTGTTTCTTCGTTATCAAACTGATATACCTCGATGCACGATCACATCGATCGGGAACTGCAGGGGGTTTTCTACATTGAAATATTTCATTATGACGCAGGCGATGGGAACGATCTCCTGAAGGGCCGACGCTTTGTCACCGACCGGATGGGAGGAAGAGGTAGAAGCCTTTTCTTTTTGAGGAACCATTTTAGAGGTTTTTGCCATGATTTTAAGTTAAGAGAAGCGGAAGGTGGTGGGGCTAGGCTTTTTCCGGTACTAAATGGACGGTGGAAGCAGGTTATGAAAGAAAAAGATAAAGAGAAGGAGGGATCGGAGAGAGTGCAAGGAAGAAGTAAGTTCTTAATTCGATAAAGGAGCCCAATATTTATAGGTAAGCGGCGACGGTTCAACGACACTAGTGGCCGACCATCACTGGAGAAGAATTTAATGTTTTGGGGAAGCGATCCGGCGGGACATTTTGGTCACTTCAAGCGCCTACATCACGAGAATGACATCATCATTAGGGACTCCGGAAATTCGAGGTTCAAATCGTTTCTTATGATTTTACTCTAAGAAATGTGGGGACTATCTGTATACGATAAAATCATGTGCCCCCGATTTTGCAGGCCCGAAGGCCCACCACGAGGAGCAGAAGATTCGCGTCAAGGAATAAACTCACTTGTATACGGCTAAAATCGGAGAGCTCGATTTTATGACCGTTATGACATTCCAAGCTCGCCTCCAGAAGCCTCGAGGCACAGTTTGAGGTTCAACCCCGAGGGTTCCCTATGCTCGACCTCGGGGCAGCACAAATTGGTGGCTACCATGGACAAGCGGGAAGTTCCCAAGTCAATGACTAAAGCTGACAATACCTGCAAGAATAGTACTAGTTTGTACTAGACTAGTAAATAGATGTACCAGCTACGTTTCTCTTTAATAATTATACATGTACCATGTTGGGATTCCCCCTCCTATATAAAGGGGACCCTTATCATTTTGTAAAAGACATGATATTGAATACAAGAACAAGAACACTCTCTGCTCCCTAACTTAAACACTCTCCACTTTCTTTCCTTTGATTTTATTACTTACATTTATTGTGTTCTATTGATTGTTCTTCATTTATTACTCATCACTGATCATAAAGAGCCACCATCAGGGCTCTAAGAACTAATCGACCGTCCCTAATCGGACGCTTTAACTCGACCTCGAGGCCCAGCCTAGTCCGGCTCGAGGTCGCGATTCACCGCTGTTCGATTTGAATAACAACACTGCCTCTCGCTCTTATTTTACTTTTCTAGCTCACACTTAACATCTATCACCTAGCAATTAGCATTAAAATAAATCACGTATTTGTAGAACCACAAACTCAAATTTAATTGTAATTACCATTTTCAAGGTAAACAGTTTGGCGCCCACTGTGGGGCTAAAAATAATAGTGATTGTTTTCATGCTGGTTGATTGGAAACACAAGTTATTCTTCACACTTTTTCTTGTCCAAGAATCTTTGATTTCAGGTCAAAATGTCTAACTCAGTGAATGCATATGAAAAATCTGATCCTGAGGACCATGGAGAGAATGGTGTAGCTGTTTCAGGCGCCGGTGTACCACTGCGAAACCCTGAGGGCGCACCAGATTCAATCCCCATGGATGTAAGCTCAGGCAACGCCCAACACGTCGGTATAAGCTCCCACACTAACGAAAGTACACGCCAAGAAAACCAACAGGAAGTTCGGAAAATTCCCGCGCGGGAGGAAAGAGAAGCAAACAGGAGGAACGGAACGGGAAACCCTCAACACATTGTTCATATGATCATTGGGGGGACCGACGTTCCTCAAGGATCCGTGATCAAGCGGGCAAAAGATTCCGCTGCAGCAGAAGGGCAAATTCGGGACCGCATGCTCGAGACATCCTTGCATTCAGTGAAGAGGACTTCGAGACCTTGTCTCATCCACATAACGATGCGCTGGTAATTTCATTTCTCTTGAATAACATTCAAATTAAACGTGTACTCGTGGATCTAGGTAGCTAGGCCAACGTAATCAGGTCGAAGGTGGTAGAACAACTTGAATTGCTCGATCGGATCATACCTACCTCCCGAGTCTTCAACGGCTTCACATGGCACGCGAAGCAAGGAAGGGAGAGATCACCCTCCCGGTCAACGTGTCCGATACAGTGCGGAACACGAAATTTCATGTCATCGAAGGTGACATGAGGTACAATGCATTGCTCGAGAGGCCATGGATACACAACATGAGGGCAATAGCGTCAACTCTTCATCAGAAGATAAAGTTTCTGACAAAAGACGGTATAAAAACGGTATATATAGAACATCATGCGGGAAGGAGATGTTCGCGGTTCATGGGGAGGCACCTACTTCAACACCCTCCACCTCAGAGGAGCCGGAGGGCAAACACACCCCCGAGAATGATGAAGAAGACTTCCTCTCCCCCCGAACCTTCGTTGCCCCCGAAGAATCGGATGCAACAAAATCAACAGTTGAAGAGCTGGAGCAAGCTATTTTGATCGAACATTTCCCAGATCGGAAGGCATACCTGGGAACGGGATTAACTCCCGCCCTCAGGAAAAAACTCATTCAATTTCTTATTAATAACATCGATTTCATTACATGGTTCCATTTAGATATGATAGGAATCCCACCGGAAATAACCACCCATCGACTAAGTGTCGACCCCAGGTTTAAACCGGTGAAGCAAAAAAAAAGACCTAAGTCTAACGTAAAACACGCGTTCATCAAGGACGGGGTAACAAAACTCCTCATAATAGGGTCTATTAGGGAGGTAAAATATCTCAAAAGGTTGGTCAATGTGGTGGTAGTTCTCAAAAAGGGGAATAAGTTAAGAATGTGCATAGATTATAAAGACTTAAATAGAGCGTGCCCCAAAGATTCATTCCCGTTGCCCAACATCGACTGTCTGATCGATGCCACGGCCGACCACGAGATCTTCACCATTCTCGACGCCTACTCGGGGTATAATCAAATTCAGATGAACCCCGAGGATAGGGAAAAAACTTCGTTCATCACGAAGTACGGTACGTACTGCTACAATGTGATGCCCTTCGGGCTAAAACACACGGGGGCCACGTACCAACGCCTAGTTAATAAGATGTTCGAACATCAAATAGGCAAATCCATGGAAGTTTACATTGATGATATGCTTGTTAAGTCCCTGCGCGTAGAGGACCATTTGACTCATTTGTAGGAGACATTCGACATCCTCGGAAGCTA